TTACTCAAGATTTTCCTGTAACTTCCGTTTGCACATGAGCTTCACATTGAAATATTACCTTTTCTGCCATGCACATCTTGCCTTCATTATCGGACAGTGCATCTATGCACGGCTGCTTCAAGTAGCATATGTGCCGATGCATTGCACACATCAAATCAGGAATCCAGTTTCTGTAACAAGGTCCCGTGATGGCACTGCACTTTTGCGTCTCCTTATTTCTTCACTTATCTGGTCTGCATACTTCGTGGTTTTCTGGTTGCCATGCTTGGCATACTGAACCCTGTTTGACAGGTGCTGAGATACAGGGTGATTCATTCTCATCGGAACAGATTCTTGTAAAATAAAACTTTTGTTTTATGCAAATTATCTTTTGACAGTTGAGTTATAGTTGTCCTGGCAGACACTTTATACAGTCAAGATGACAGTTAAAAGTGGACTTATTGCATAAAATTCATGAATTAGCTTTTTAGTTACTGGTTCGATAGCACCAGCACATACTGTGAAAATGGGGGCAGTCACCTTCTCAGACCAGCTTTCGTGAAATGAGCACAAACCTCAGAAAAAAACGATTGTGAAAGATTGTTGCACACAAAACGGGTTGTGGGATACAATACTTTCTGGACCGCTACAATACCGCTGCCTTTGGTGAAATGATATTTTTTCTTTTTTGGTCTATGTGCTCATTTCAGGATTTATAAAAAATTTCCTGATTTAAGGAGGTGATTGTCTTCAATTTCGTAACAGCTGTCGAACCAGTAATTGGAAAAGTTAATCAACTAATTTTAGATAATAGTCCACTTTTAGTGCCAGCCTGCCTGTACAAAGTGTAGGTTTGGCTAAATGCTCATCTGTAACGAGATCATCTGTGTAAATGAGAAAAGTTTTGTTTTACAAAAGTTTATTTCGATTAGAATGAATCATCCTCGAGCACCCATTAAAATCAGCATCAGCACCCTTGGATTGGGGTGCATTGCACCGTGCACCCTATACTACTTCACACCCCTATAGGGTGCTTTGGCAGAGGGGTGCTCGTTTGCACCCTCAAAGGGTGCTCGTCCTGGGACAAGTGCTTTACACCCCTAAGGGGTGTAAAAAAGTTTAGTGTGTAGCCCATACTTTGTACAGCGGTTTGCGTTCTTTTTCGCCTCGTCTCGTGGTGCCGAGGAAAGGGCTGCGGACCTCGTGGTACGGGCTTCGACTCCCACTGAGCCGCTTGGTGAATTATGCTTGCGATTAATAAGGCATACATATGTGTGCCGCCGAGTAATTATAACAAAAAATGCCATGGACCCTGTAAGCTTTATGTGGCCATGGCCTGCGTGTAGCAATTGTTCGTCACACTCGATCGTGACACTTTTCGCTTGACGTCTAGCCCATAAGCACATTACGTTTTAATAGGTTACTCGTTCGTTCCCTTTAAAAATAATCGAGTCGTTACATCGTTACCGAAAAAAGTAACTAGACTCAAGTATTGCGTAATCTGTAGCGCGTCGTACGAGTATTTCTCTTTTTGACTGCGCTAGGGCTGCTGTCGAGCGGGCGGACGTCATTTTCGCGCGTGCATAGCGGCGCGCCAGCATTATTTACCCCCCTCCCCCTTGTCCCCGTGGCCACCGTTAAACTCGCCCGCTGCCCTCCCAGCTGCGGACGAGTCCACCCACACTCTCAGGGGAGTGTCGGCCCGCCGAGCCCGTCGGGGAGCTCCCCGCCGGCCTCTCCTTCCTCTCCCCGTGGATCAATGAGCGGTGGAGGGGGACACCCTGCCGCCAGAAAAGAACCGGCTCGAAGTCGGAGACACGCGATGGAATAGAGGCCGAGCGGTCCCCCGCACTACGCGTCGTTGTCTGTCTAGGAACCGCTTTGCGATTTCTTGGCAAACTCCGTACGCTACGGTCTGTGGGCCCGGCTTCATTAGGGAGTTTTGGAATAGCGCACGCTAAAGCTTTGCGTACGCAAACAATAGCGTCGTCGCCACTGCGCATCCTGCGTGCGCAAACCAGGTTTTGCGCTTTGCGTGCGCAATTTTAGCCTGCGCTATTTCTCGGATATAGCGTGCGTACGCAAAGAGTCTTTGCGCTTCTCCAAGGAAGATTCGTGATGAGAAGTTGGCTAAAGCCAAGACGAGCAGAGTTTAAAATAATGGCGGCTTCCAGGATTATGTCGGTGGCTGCTTTGGCGGCGTCGTGAGTGCGAGGTCGGAGGCATTCTCGCGGCTCCGATTTTAAATACGGGTCAACATTGTACTCGGTTTGGCAACGATCACCGGCAACTTGATGCTTGCGACGCGCGAACATTTCTCGGCGAAGGTCAGTACACGAGACCTCTCTCGCCGAGGCGGCGCAAGCGGACACGAGCGCCCAACCGCTCCCGTCGCATTCTCATGTTTAAACAAATCTAAAAGAGTACTCTGGACCAAAAAACTTGCTTTTTTTAAGTTACAGTGTTTTGTGTGTGAAATAAAAATTGTGACAGTATCTTGGTGGCGTCGCAAGCGCAAGATGCTTGGACTTTTGCGTCGCGACGGAGAAACGCTATTCTAAAACTCTCTTGCGTCGCGTGCGCTAATACAAGCGCTAAGTTTAGCTCTAACGTGCGCTAAAATTGCGTACGTTATTCTAAAACTCCCTATTGTCCAGGCTCTCCGACCGGAGAGGTTGGACAAGGAAGCCGGACCCACAGAATCTGCAGAAAATGAAAAAGGCCGGAGAACAGCGATTGAATCAGTTAGGCGCATTCGCAACTTTCAGCGATGGTGGTACCGCGGTGTGAGAATCGCGCTCTCTAGAGCTCCTGGATGATTGGCCTCATAATTAAAGGGCTGGCCTACACCTTGCTCACGTGAAAAAATAACGTAAGGCTGTGATATTGCTCGTATATAGCAAAACTAGAATTCCTTACGCGTCGTAGACGCAGCCTCGTACCGCTGTTCTACGACGATCATCCAGATGCCTGCCACTTTGATAGGCACCAGTGCGACCCCTAGAGGTCGTGAAAGTTGCCAAGTCTTCAAACCACATTTGTGTTTTCAATTTTGGTGCCTTCTTTGTACAATATGCGAAGCGACCGCTACCCCCCTCCGCTGCAGCAGGCTGTTATATGTCGGTTTTATATTATAAATTCTGGGAGCCCACTTACCGTCAATTTTTAACAACAGAGGTATCGAGATACCGAAGCCTGGCAAAGTATTGCCACACAATCAATACATCGTAAAAGTGTTTCACTATTGAGATGCAAATACACTTTTCAAATGTATCTCGATAGAAGGTATGCAGAATATCTCCCAGATACTATCGCGGTGCATTTGTATCGTAGTACTGCCATTCCCTGGTTCGTACAAGCCGTCCAGGAACCCAGAAACGTGACGGCTACGCAAATGTAGACCGCAAATTTTATGGTGAATTCCAGTAGTACATCGGGATAGTTTCCCAGAATCTGCGAGGAAGGAGAAAAATTCCTTCCTCACTGGAATATGCGTGCGCCTAAAAAGAGGCGCTTTGGGAGCGCTCCAAATCTGCGAGTGGCATTCACCATTAGGGATTTGCGTGCCAAGTTTACGAAGGCAATCCTGCAAGCCCAATGACTAGAACTGGGAATTCATTAAGGATACCTCGGGATCTTCTGACGTGCAAAAAAACTCCCACTTACACGGGGGAGATTTATATAGCGTTAGGAGGACCGTTATCTTTTCTGCTCTTTGCTCCGAGTTCTTTGTTTTGCGCCATCTATACTTTTAGATGGTGGCACCACTTAAACGTCCGTAATTAATAACTATTTTTCGTCCATTTGTTCTGTCTTAACTGAGAAAGTGCTCTATATCTGGTTTTAAACTTTCCGAGCACTACGTTTCCGACATAAAAAAAAAAAACAAAATTGTGACACCAATAATTTGCAATATTAAACGGGAAGATATTATAGATTGCTCAGTCCGTTTTCGATTTCTTTTTTTTAAATTTAGGATTAATTGAATAAAAAAAAACACTAAGAAGCTTCATGCGGATTGGTGGCCGATTGTGTCAACTTCAATCGCAGCAGCTCGAAGAACGTAGAGCGAAAGCTCGCGCTACAGAACCCAGGGGTCCTGGGTTCAATCGTTCCCCTAACCGCCCCTGCCCGTTTTGAATGTGGATGAGCATCGTACCGGCATGTCGTAGTGTATCATTGCTGCGTGATGCTCATTGTAGACATCGGGCTAGCCTTCGTACCGCACTTGCTAGATTTCGCATCTATAGCTGAGACACCAGACGTCTATCGAGGCTGCCTATAACTTCCGGCTGTCTAAGCAAACACACAACGCGATTATGTTATTAAGAAGCACGCAAGTTTACGCACGTATGTACCCACAAATCAAAAACAAATTCTGCGTAATTTTGACTTTGTAAGTAGAATTAAAATGTTTAGTTGCTTTCCTTTTTTTCTTCTTTTTGGCAGTGCGCGGCCGCAGAAACCTGACTCCCGTGAGGTAAAACTTCTGCATCCGCGGCGCAGTGCGGACAGCAGCACCACCGCAATATCGTGACGTCAGAAAATTGAGTTGGCGCATATCCAAACGCGAGACGTGGGAATGTCGGGTGTTATAAAAATACAGCCACGCTTCACTCCAGTGTACGGTACACCGGAGACATAAGACATTAGAAAAACAAGACGGTAAGCGCCGCTCCTCTGTCCTTTGTCTCCTTTCTTCGACTGCGATGATGCGCCGACTGAAGCGATTTTAATTATCTTCGGGAAACTCCCCAAGGTGGAGAACGTATACGCTAGAATGAATTCATTTCCACCTGAGGTCTCGCGCTATCTTGATGCTCCACGATTCACGAGGAGGTACTGGGATCGATATCCGGAGCAGTCGGATGTTCTGAGTGGCGCACCAGTCGCCTGTAGAGGGTGCGAGTTGCGGCCCGTGTCAGGTGGGAATCGAGTCGTTCCATTGTATAACTCGAGCGATGCGAGTGAGTGATTCAACGTACCGAGAATCATCTCAGGACTGCGTTTCTCCCCCGCAGATTGACATCCTGCACATGGACGACGTTCTCTGCGACAGTTACTCACTCATGGACGTGGCCTACATCTACGCCTGGAAGAGGGTGAGCCTTCAGTGTCGGCAGGGAAGCGTGACTGCTGAGTGTAAAAGAATGCCCGTTTGGAACTTTTCTGAGATCACCCCACACTTTTCGCAGATTTTATGACGTCGCTACACTTCGCAATACTTCCAGTACCCATTACTACGGCGCGTGGTTCGGACGAGAGTGGCCAGTGTTGCGCTGGAAAGCGCTTTTTTATGCCAAGCCGACTGCCAGGCGTTGCGTAAGAGTTTTAATTGATGGCGAGCGGCGTCCAGTTTTCAGATATGATAGGAATCTGCTTCCTTGGTTCCCGGCAAGAATCGATGGACTCATCTTCTCCCTGTGAACTCTGCAAATGTTCGCACTTAGCTTCGTGACGGCGGACCGCGCTCGGCCGGCAAACTTTAACCGCCGCGGTACACGGCCGCGATGGCGTCCCTGACGGGGGACTTGATCCGGGGGTTTGCAGGAGTCTCCCCTACGCCTCGCATTCCGGGTGTACTCCCATCCTGCAAAGCGGCCGGCGCCGGCGGACGGCCCGGTAGACGTCGACGGGAGGAACTGCAGCGTGGACCCGGCCGGGCAGCAGCAGTGCCTCCAGGAACATGTGACGGCTCCCTCTCGACCGGCGCCGGAATCTTCGGCGGCGGCCAGCGTGGAGGGAGACGTCGCCCAGAGCTCCGCGAGTCCGGAGAAGGACCCGGGACCTCCTGCGCTGGTGCCAAGGGACGTCTTGCCGGCGGAGGAGGCTGCGGACGCTGCCGTTCCGTCCGTCGTTCCCGCTACGGAAACGCGCCGACCGGAGACGCCGGACGTGTGAGTGCCCGAAACCGAAGCCTTGGATTTCCCGGACTCGTTCCCCCCTTAGGCTGACACTGTGGTGAGCCAAGGTTCAAGTGCCGGGTAGGCCAACTGACCGTTTCGCCATGGGCTCCTGACCAGGCTTCGTGCATTGACAGAAGGAGAACGTGGTCAGGGAAACCAGTGTGCAGTCCGTAGATGGTTGATTGGTGTAGTAGCCCGCATGTGGCGATCCACTCAAGCGAATGCCTTTTTGGCGTTCACGTTTTCACTTCTCCGAACCATTCCGTTTTATGTTGTTATCATCCTTAGCAGGCACCCCTAATCACGCTTTCTCATCAGAGCAGTCCCTGCATAAGCTTAAAGGCTGGTTCAGACATGTACAACGAGCGCGATGCGTCCGCTGCAACCAGGGCGACCGGAACGACTGCTCTGCGCCGCGCGTACACACACCTGCAACCGCTGCAACAAGCGCAGCGGGTCGGCAGCACGGCGACCGCTTCTACGCCGCCGTCAGCTGTTTCAGCGGTGCCCCTTAAAAGGGGGCGCACTGCCACTCAATACCGTAACAGAATATAGACAGACAGATTTCTATAGCCTAAAGCTTTATTAATATATTTTTTTTCATGATAGGCTTGGATGCTGCAGAGCAACCCAAAAAACTTTTGGAAAGTTGTTAATCCGAAACCTGATATTGTAATCAATCTTAAAAACGACGATGACTCTTCGGTTCCTGATGATGAATGTGCAGAAAAATTCAATGATGTTTTTTGTTCAGTGTTTACACAAGAGTGCAATGATATGTTTTCTATGGCTCCTCCTGCCTTTCCTACATCCATGGTTGGGATCACGTTTGAACCGGCTGGCATTGTGAAAATCATCGACACCCTTAAGATTTCATCATCAGCGGGTATTGACGAAATAAATGTAAAAGTGTTAAAGAATACCAAAGATATATCTAGCGTAATATTGGCAAACCTTTTTTCACAGTCACTTTCTACTGGTTCCCTGCCATACGACTGGAAGGTGGGGAAGATCGTCCCAATCTACAAAAACGGAAACAAGTGCTCCCCTTCAAACTACCGTCCCATCTCCCTAACAAGCGTGTCGTGTAAACTAATGGACGTATCAACTCCAAAATCATTCATTACTTGTCAGAGAACAACTATATCCATTCCTCCCAACACGGCTTCCGAAAAAACTTCTCCTGTGAAACTCAACTCGCGTCTTTCGTCCACGACCTGCATGTTAAACTCGACTCTAACATTCAAACTGATGCCATCTTTCTAGACTTTGCTAAAGCCTTTGATAAGGTCCCTCACAGACGTCTCATATACAAGCTTACTCTACTTAACTTAGATCCCGCGATTTTGAACTGGATCATTAGCTTTCTTACGCATAGACATCAATTTGTTACCGTTAACCAGTCATCATCCTCTATTGCCTAAGTCACCTCAGGCGTTCCTCAGGGATCGGTCCTTGGACCACTTCTATTTCTAATATACATTAACGACCTACCCGTATCAATCACGTCGCATATTCGCCTCTTCGCTGACGACTGCGTCATCTACCACCAAGTAACTAACCCTTCGGACCACCAACTCATTCAAGACGACCTCATACGCATTCAAGCATGGTGCGAAGAATGGCAGATGCCTCTTAACGTTCAGAAATGCCAGCTCGTGTCATTTACACGTCGTGTCAACCCCTCCGTGTTTTCCTACTCAATAACGTACCTCTGCAGAAAAGCCTTTCCTATAAGTATCTCGGAGTCCACCTCTCATCTGATCTTTCCTGGGCCACTCATATCAGTCACGTTATCTCCACTGCTAATCGCTCTCTAGGCTTCTTAAAACGTAACTTTAAGCTAGCCCCTCCTCATCTAAAGCTACTTGCTTACTCATCTCTTGTCCGTCCTAAACTGGAGTATGCATCTGCCATCTGGGACCCGCACCAGGCCTATCTCATCAATAACCTCGAATCACTCCAGAATCGTGCAGTACGTTTTATCTACTCAGATTGCTCTTCCTTTTCTAGCGTAACTAACCTCAAAATCCGTGCAAACCTTCCTGTCCTTTCTGTCCGTCGTAAACTTGCTAGGCTATCTCTTTTCCACAAATTTTACTACAGCCAGTGCCTCCAATCATCATACATCATATCTTCAGAATACCGGCTTCGTCGTACGGGACATAATCTCGGCGTAAGACGCCCCAAAGCAAGAGCCGTCACCTTCCAGAATTAATTTTTTTCACGCACTGCCATTGATTGGAACGATCTTCCCGAGAACGTCGTCATCACTCATGACCCGATGGAATTTAAAAAACGCTTGCTAGAGTCCCCACTTTAGGTTTGTACGAATCATCTATACGTGTATAGTTTGCCTTTTACGTTTGTGTGTATTTGCTCCTTGTATGCGAGTTGTTTTTGGCGTGTTTTCTACCCTGTTGTTTTTACGCTGTATACCCACCCCTTATGTAATACGCCCTAGGGGGTCCTTAAGGTATTTAAATAAATAAATAAATAAATAAAAAAAAAAGAAAAGAAAAAGATCCAGTACGCCGTCTTGGACGATCACGACTCTAAAACACGACTTTGCCAATAGACAAATCTCGCCACGCGCCTTTTCTACGATTATGAAAGACGATGTAACCTTATCAGCGATATAGCAACGTAGAAATATGATTTCGTGATCAGATAGACGTTTCGAGCGTTCAGGATAGCTAACACTAATCACTTTTCTCCGGTTCTCCGGTGATGAAAACGCGTAAAAAGTCGCATCCTTTATACGGTACGCGCCAGTAATACCTTGAACTTGAGCACACGCATGATATGCGCCAAATAAGAAATCCGGGCGATGTTCGAGGACACAAATGCTTACAAAGCACCACTGTAGTCGAAGTAAACAAACACGACGGCACAGGCGTTTCTGCTCTCTTGAGAGTGCCGCCACGACATCGCAGCACGAGTAGGTCGACCTTCCCATCTAATACGTGCTGGGTTATCATAGCGACACACGACGAAAATTCACAGTCAAGGATAGCGCTTTTACGCGGAACGATGAGCTTTCACCACGCCGTCGACGTCGACGATCACCACGGACGCCATGTTTGCATACAGAAGGAGCCGGCCCGTGACCGGCATGCAACGCGCGCGACCCATTCTCCTCGACCTGTGATTGGTCTGTCGTTGCGGTTGTTTTGGTTGTTTCCAACGCAGCGGGTAAAGTTGGGTTCGCTCCAACTCCTTGTGTCGGTAACGGCACGCGCGTGCGTCCCTTCGTCGCTACGGCAACTGACGGTTGCAGACCCTTGCAATGGTCGTTTCTGTTGTTCCGGTCGTTCCGGTCGCTACGGACGCATGCGTGTGAACGGGCCTTTATGGAGGACAACGAAGTCGCTGGAAAATCGCGTTGAACTGTAGAAGAGCGTTGAGGGTGGTGTCCCAGGCCAATTTGAATCCGAGCAATTCTAGACGTTTCCATATTTCTGGTGCAATCATTGTCTAAGTTGTGACCGTAGTCGGAACGTGAAGTGCTCCGAGGTGTATATCAGACGTGTTTCTTTAGCTTATCTAGACGGAACGAATTCAAGGTCATGACGCAGTACTCCATCAGTCCCGGGAGTGTCTGCTAATGATTCAGCGCCTGTCCGTGGACTCTCCGCAGGACGACGGCGACAGAGAAAGCGGCTGCCCCTGGGAGTGCCCAAGCAGCGGCTCCCATCTGGTCGTCCTCTTCGCAGCAGGAACAGCGGCAGAAGGTGGCGGAGCCTGTCACTGAAAGTGCCCCCACCCTGTCTAAGATGATCCTCAGCAGCATCCTGGACAGGAGCAGCAACAAGATCACCATCCAGACAAAGGAGGTGCCCCCGGCGGTGGCGCAGGCCATGTCCCCGCCCCGTTCCCCGCATTCCAGGAAGTGCAGGCGCAAGGAGCAGCGGGACGCCGAGCGGACGCTGCAGCACGTCAGGCACCAGGGACGGCCCCCGGACAGCCATGATACCCAGGGGCCCCGGCGCTCCCGGAGCCGCTCCCCGGAGCGACCAGACGGGGCAACGCCGGTCACAAACCCGAGGCTGGACGGCGCCGCGGCCGACCGCCGTGTGTGCCATTCTGCTTCGCCCGACAGGCTGCTTCCCGAGACCACGTCGCTCCTGGAAGCGACCCAGCAGAGCCAGAGCCTCGCCGGCAAGGGCTCTGGGCCCGGCATCCGCGGTCTGCCCGCGTCTCCGCCCCGGGCGCACCCGCAGACCCCGAGGACCTCTCCCGAAACCCCACTCGTCCCGAGCGCCATGAAGGGCGAAGAGGACACACGACCTCTGGACCTCACTGTGTCTCACCGCGGCCTGCCGGCGCCGGCGCCCGTGCGCAGGCCTGTTGGGCGGCCGCCCCTCGCACTCCCTCCGATGTGCACACCGGGGACCGCCAAGGGGACAGCCTCGCCCTCCCCGCACCGCAGGGCGGCGGCGGCGTCCCCCGCGGTGTCGCTGTACCAGAAGCCGGCCGTGGCGGTCAACGAGGCCGCCACGTCTCCGCCCCTGTCGCAGCAGCACCACCACCACCACAACCACCACCGGAGCAGCAGCAGGGGCTTTCTCAAGGGCGCCAACCTGACGTGCATCAACCCGGACCCGGACGCCTTTCACCCGCGCATCGTCATCAAGAACCTGCAAAAGCGCGCTTCTGGCCCCAGCCTCCACCGGATGTGAGGCCGCGTTGCTGTGCTTGCCCTCTCTCTCGGATAGACGGCGCGGCTCGCTTTGACCTGCGTCTACTCTCTAGTCCCTTGCCTGGTGTGTGTCTGCTACTTGCGAGCGCGTACGCGGAGCTGTCGTGGTTTGCGCGAGACGGCACCGTTTGTTTGTGCCTGTGAATGGATGGAAGTCGTTGTGGCGTCACCCGGAAGACATCTGGATACACAGACCGTGCCGCTCGGAACGGATTCGTCGAGGTGCATCCGGCATGTGTGTCGTGTGTTCGCGGACGATCACGTGCACCCTGCCCTCCCTTCGTGACCCGCCAACAAGTGGAGCAGTCCTGACGTCCGTCAGGACTGCTTCGTGTGCGCGCTACGATGCTTGGGGGGGGGGGGGGGGGGGGGGGGGCGGCAAGAATGTGCGTGAGATTCCTGTCCTGCGTGAGTGTGTTCGACACGAGGAATATGTGCCTCCTGGATTACGCTGGATTAAGCCGGATTACCTATCATCATCTTACGCGGTTCTCGTGAACCTCAAGCGTGCTTGTGGGAAAAATTTTTTCCTGATTTTTTTCAACAAACTGTTTGATGAAGAGTAGTTGGAGAAATGTCTTTATACGTAAATAGTGACTGCACGCCGAATGGAATAGTAACGCGAATATACGTGTAGTGGCTGCACTGCACCAAGATTGTGCAATATTTCGAATACGCGCCATTCTTAAACTGAGTCATTTTAAAAGGAGGCACTGGAAGTATTGTGCGGGGTTTACGTCGGCCGCTTTGCACGTAATGGTCACTTTTAATGTAGAGTAAGGACACGCAAGAAGTTTATGAACATGGTTACAGTTGCTGCGTGCAGTCTCGCATAGGCTTCATTTGGGTGGTTTTCTTGGCCATAAGATTACTGAACTGAGAAGGCCATGACATCATAAACATAGACGTTGTGTACTCGTAGGCATAGAAGGACGTCCAAACGATTATTTGAAAATGGCCGGACGTGCCGGCCACTTTCGGTCGGTTATTAATGACCTTGTTGCGTGAATAAAAGAGGTAAATGCTTCACGCTTGTTACATCCGTGGCTACGCGTGTTGTCGCGACGTAAGAATTAAAGCTCGATCGCCATGGAGGGAGGCACAGAAAAATGAAGGACCATGCCAGTGTTGGTGGACGCTTCCTTCTGCCTACAATGCCTCCGAAGACACTTATGTATTAGAATACGGTAATAAGAACGAACATTTTCTTATTCTAGTCAAGAACACGCTGAACCTTCGAAATAGCAAATACACCCAGGCCTCCAAGGCTGCACCCCTGCCGGCCATCGGTGTTGTCTTCCTAAAGGGCTGAGTCAAAGGTAAGGAGAAACGACGGAAACGGCGTCGCCGAGTGTGCCTACTGCAAAAATAAGAGACGCTGGCTGCTTTCAGATTCGGCTGAGTTTCCGCTCAGTGTCTTGATGGCGCATTAATGGGAGTCTTAGTCCCGTACATTAGGTCGGATCACACATTATCTAAAGCGTGTCTTTCGAGCTCAATAATGATCCTATAAGTAATCACCCAGGACAGCTCAAAACACGCTGCACATTCGTTGCCTCTCAAAGAGGCACCGAAGTTGATTCTTAGATCGTCATTTTTTGGTGATAACTCAATCTAGACGCTCTAGGCGTCCCAACAAACCTGAAATCACAATCGTGCGTAGCTTATTTCCTCGTTAAAAGCGTGGTCTAAGATCGCGACACGCCCTTTTTGCGAAGAATTTATTTCTGAGTGAAGTGGTCGACGAAGGGCGCCTGTGGGTGAGTGGCAAGCGATGGCTTATCCCGCGAAAAAAAACGAGGAGTCTTATCCAAATGTGTACCGATCAGACTCTCTTCGAAAGAAGTTATGACAAAATCCTTTAGAATCTGTGCGTATTGTAGGGCTTTCATTGGTCCACACCAATGTAGTACGGGAGTAAAAACAATCCACATGTTTTTCCATTGCCCTGAGATGAATAGGCGGTTTTGTCATATAGGACTTGGTGTATGTGGGAACTAACACATTTTAAACAATATAAGATCAGATACAATCTTTTCAAAACTGAATTCAGTGCCCCTTTAAGCTTATCACTAAGATTAAAATACCTTTTTTTTTTTTAAATATGCAACGGTTGTTTAAGGTTGACTGGGACCTTTGTCCCTAAAAGAAAATTGCTAAACATGTGTAGCATAATGAAACTTGCGGTGAACGTTAACGTGATCCCTCTCGATTTTTTATCTCCCGAAACGGTGTATATGACCCCTGCTTACACGTTGCAGCTATCATGGCGGCGAGCAGTGTGTCTGTAGCTGTAGAACAGTGGTGAAAAATCCAACTGCTAGTGAGGGAGAGAGCGAAATCGGCTGAATTTTTTAGAAGACTGCAAGCAGAGCATGACGAACAAATGGTGTTGCGGACAAGACTGTACGAATGGTATCATTAAGGGGGAACGAGAGCAAGTGACAAACTGAAAATACCGACACGTTCATTCAAAGGCAGTCACGGAATCCAGTTCCTTCTTTTCTCAAAGAATCTGGGAACTTTCAAAACTGTAGCCGTGCACGGTGCCTTGGCTCGGGGAATACTTTCAACAGCTGATATACCGTAAGCGACGTACTTTTCGCTGGATCAACATTTCGCGATTTAGGACAAACCTGATGTTTTGGAATTAAGACGTTTACAGTAGTTGCCTGGTTGAAAATTAAGACGTTTACAGTAGTTGCCTGCTGGTCGAAAGTTCTAATTCCTTCGTAGGAATAAAACTCTAGGTCAGCCTCGAACGACCCTCATATTATTGCCGAATTGGTTCTGCGCGTACGTCGCAGGCACAATAAAGAAGAAGAAGAAAAAAAAGCGTACGTCGCACGCTAAGTCTCGGGGTTCGAACCCCACCGGCCTAGTTCATTGTATTTTTCGCGGCTCTTCTGGAACGTTCTAGTAGTTTCTTGTGACGTACCCCTCCTTGGTCCAGTTCAGAATGACGTAGATTACGTAGTCTGTATAAAAGAAGTCCGGCAACCTCGCGGCAGTCGACCTTTCGATGTACCCCTTGCACCACGACACACGGCTCCTTTTTGCTCGACATTGTAGACACTAATTCGCCGCATTCATTTTCATTTATTTTTAGATCCACATCCCTCTGGTATTTTTATACGTAGCTATATTCGTTTACTGCACAATCCAAATATTTGAAATGGGAAAATGCTAAAATCTTAGCTTTTTTTTTTTTTTTTTGGTACATGTCTACGTTTAGCTGTCCTCCAGAGTTTCTATGGGCCCTCACCCCGCAGAGGAGGGGGGGGTTAGTCGCCGGTGGGAAACCTGAGGAATGTGTCCCCTTTCAGAACGAAACGGAATCACGTGGAGCAGGTGGGCGAGGGGAGGGGGACAAGAATGGAGGGAAAGGCGAGGTGTCGCGGGAGTCGAGTGTCGGTCGGGGGACCCGAGGGCCTCAGACCTGCGCGCATGTAGGTAAAGGCAGATAGGTTTTGCATTTTCAACGCGTCGTCTCTTCGCTGCTTCGTCGTCGTATTCACCGGCCGTGGTCGGGGAAAGGACGTTTTGACGCCGGACACCTCTCCCGAACCCAAGGAGAGAGATGCTGCCCGCATTCGTAAGTTCCCGTCGAACAGACGTTGGCAATTATCGTGCTCCGAGTAACAGAAGAGGGAGGGCCGGTGTTTCTCCGGTGCTTTGTCGCAGTCTACGTCGAAATGTGATAGCGTTGCTGCTCTTTTATGAGGGCTATATATACGAAGGATTAATTTGCAACGAACATCTACGGCGAATACCTTACAATGAAATATCCGTACATTTCATTCAATGAAGATGTACACACTGGGCACGTCGCCAGCTCCATCTGCTCAGCTACCTTCAATCCGCGCCTCGCTCTTTTGAAACATTGTGAAGACTGGCGTATAATTAGCAAAAAATCTATCTAATCTTTACAGTGGGATCGGTGGCCGAGCGAACCAGAGCTCGGAGCGTGGAGTGAAAGCTTTGCGCTGCAGAACTGGGTGATTTCGTACCGGCACGCGTTCGTCTAATCACTACTGCGTGGTGCACGTTAACGACCCCAGGTTCGCGGCTGTACTGCACCGGTTCAATTTCTCATCTACAGCTAGGAGACGAGTCACTCGTTGAGTCCTGCTAGCATAAAGGCTGTCAACATACAAGTATCACAATATTTCTAATATTTATTTTTTACGTGGAGGTGTATATATATATATATATATATGGTTCCCATTAAAAGCTAGGTAAGCGTCATTTGCCGTCCTTAAATTACTCAGTTTGAGGACTACCTGAAGCACGTGGGTTGCGCTTAAGCTATCAGTCGCGCAGAACGCGCACAACGCTGCGCAAGGCCGGGGATGCGGAAATGCGAATGATAATGAACTCATCCAAAGTTTAGTAATTTGCTCTTTTTCTTTTTTTTTTTTTTTTTGTTGGAAAAATAAATTCTGCATCGCGGAACGAATTCGGTCAAATGGAGCGCTAGCGGTCCGGACCGGATACCCAAGTTTCAGAATTAATAATTTTTTGTATTCAAAGGTTTTTGTTGTTGTTGTTGTTGCTGTTGTTTTAGTTATTTTTAACCTTTCAATAAAAAATAGGGCCCGTTCTTGGTAGTTTCCCCATGAAAATTTCTGAAAATCGCTCGTCAGATTGGGATCAGGTAACGATCTGTCCCGATGTGTGTGTATATAGGCATTGTCAGGAGATTGAGCGGTGGAGGAGAGAGCCGATTTCCTTACAACGCCCACACACACACGCACACTTTGCGACAGATCGTTACCTGATCCAGATTTGACGAGCGATTGGCATCTGGTACGAACCGCCACGTGCTTATCACTTTCCAATGCACATACGCATGAGTTTCGTCCTTCAAAAAACAATTTTCCAAGGCAAAAAAAAATCGAATATAAAGGTTGAGCAAATAAGGGGTTGGACGAAAGGGTGGTAATCATTTGAGCCCGTTCTCGTTTCGACCTTCTCGCTTGCCCTTCTCAAAACAACCATTCTCAAAAAGACCTCTCTTGGACCTGTCGCATTTGGTCCTTTCCCGTTTTGTCTTTCGCATTCCAACCCTCTTCAGTTGGGCCCGTTCTCGTTTCGCCTCTTTCACCCAGTCATTTTCAAAACAGCCATTCTCAAACATATCTCGCTTTGACCCGTCGCGCTTGACTTTTTCTATACCAAAATCGTTTAGGGTAATATTAATACATCAATATAACGTGTGTGTGTGTGTATGTGCCACACCACAGGCATACTCTCTCTGTTAAGGATTTTAGCAGTGCATCGAGGTCGTCGTGAAAAGCTACTAGCTGAGAATAAAACAGACCAACTATTTATCGCAGTCGTATCATATTCCGAAATGTCACGTTGTTTGAGGTCTCTCGAGTTAGGACAATGCCACCACTTTTCTAATGCAGTCGTTCTCAAAAGGGCGTCTGCGAAGACATCCTAGGGGTCCGCGAAGCCCTGTCTCATCAGTCAGGCACGGCGATATTAGTTGTCTTTCTTCACATTGAGCAGAAACCTTCCAATTTTCGGGAGAGTACTCTCGTGTGTATGTCAATAATATAAGTCTAGTTTACACTAGCAATTAGTTATATCCATTTATTAAATCATTATCATGATAACCTATACCTTTCTATTCCCCGCACCCCGAACGGGGTCCTCCATCATCTCCGCCTTTCTACAAGGCGTCCGCGAAACATTAATGGTTGAGAACCACTGCTATTATGTATGCTATTTCTATTAAAACAAAGTTTCCAAGGTAAATGTTCATCGCTTTTTTCTCTCGTTTGCTTAGAGGAAAGGAAGCAGGCGGCAATGTACGATTCTCACTGCGTACCTCTAAACATAACATATATCTGTGCGTACCTCTACACATAACATAAATCAGGGTAAGGCTCATCAACAAAGCCGCGAAGGCATAACGACGCTAGAAGCATGCCGAACTATTGCCATTCGGTCGTAGCGCGAACGGGCGAAATGCAAATGGGTCCAGTTGCGAAAAACACGATTTG